GCTGCGCTTGCACTGGCGGGATTTGCATAAACGGGATTTGATTGGCTGATGCCAAGCATCGAGCCTCAAAAGTTGAACATTGTTCAACTTTTGATGCCGATAGATGCTCGTGATGCTTGCAAAGCCATGCCATGCTCCCCACAATGCAGTTCGGCGAAGATTACAAATCTTCTACGTCACCTCATTCAAGTGAATGGGTGAAGCGTTGAAAGCATTTTTCGATGCCTGTAGTGTAGACGGGCCGTAACTTAGTACTTTTTTAGCATATTATTTATTATATTATAACTTAGTACTTTTTAACGCATGTAAGATATTCAACACTAAGCTGTAAGTGGCTCTTTCCTGCTTCAACGCTGCAAATTTCCCCTCTGTGGGACTAATAAAGGTATTCTGATTCTGATAACGGGACAAATTTGTACAAAGGGGCACACAGCAATGTAGTGCCGACTTTCTTAAACGCTGGAAGGCCAATCGCTTTTCTTTACCCCGAAATCCGCTCATTCTTGCTCTCGTGTGTCATAACAAACTGTCAAACTGTCAAGCTGTCAAAACTCTGTACTCAAACCGGAAGTACTCGGCCTCACACCCAGCCGCCGGAAGTTGATAGATGCCATCTTGTGCACAGAGCCTATAGGTTAGCAATTTTTGCTCTGGGCTAATTCAGAAGCTCACTGTTAGCATTGTGTGTTTTTCTTTTTTTTTTTAAATGAAAAAGATCAGTTAAGTGATTGTTTTCCCGTTATATGGATATAAAATATTCATAGTTTATTAAATATTAAGGTTCCTTAGACGTTGTTTCCTGCAAATGACGCGATTTCGGCCCCAGAACCGGGTCCGTGGGGCTTAAAAGGTAAGAGTGTCACATAAGGTCTGCGTTTGCAATATCACATTTGTGGAATCGACTTGATTAAAAGACACATAGAGATATATTTCAAAACATTGAAGGCAAATAAGAAGGCATCATTTTTAACCTCATTTTGGGTAAGTACCTTTCTAAGTCTATTTCAAAGGCTGAATATCTCTCTCACTTAAGTGGAATTGTTGTGATAGTAGATTGTCTGTTCAAGAGGCAGTTTACTCTCTTTTTTGTGGAGTTTCAGCCAGCATCATCAGACCTGGAGCAAACATCTACTGCTAACTACAGTAGCTAAAAAGCTTGTTGTATACTATTGGTTATTTCAAGAAAAAGCTATAATAAACTAAAATTAATTAATTGAATGCCTCTATTTTTGGGTCAAGGGTGTGAAAACGTATTTCATTATACAATAAAAGATTCCCTGTATACACTGCTTGGAAGTACTAAAAAGGTGTGGGATGAAATAATGTTGGGCATGATTCCCAATTTTTTTGCACAAAGGTAAGAGTACCAGAAAAAGTAATAATGGTTTTGTTGTTATCATTAGGGGTCTTAGCCAAGAAGCCTCAATCTCATCCTTATTAATTAATTACTATACTGTACATCATCTCCAATCAAAGTGTTTATTCAGTAAAAAAACATTACAGAATTTGTCAATTCCATCACGACTACTCAAAATGTTGTAAATTATAATAAAACTGGCTTGGCTTGGACTCTAGATATTTTTTTCATTTATTACATTTCTAAATGGTTCTGCATCTATGCTCGGTTTGCAACATCTTCTCAAATATTCCAAAAGACTATTTTTGGATAAAAAAAAAATCAGTTGGCAAGGTTTGAGGAAATAACAGTTTTAGGTTTTTGAGTTAAATCTCTTAAAATTTCACATACTTCAGAAATGAATGAAATGTGGCATATTTGGATGAAAATAAATATAAAATATATTTCTGTAATGAATGATGTCATCTGCAGATGTAATCTTGTGACCTACTTAAAGGGTAATAATTCTAGTAAGTATTAACTGTGAACGTAAAGGTTTTGAAAAGCTGCTTCTGTGAGTAAGTGTGTATTGTTTGATTTTATAGATTCAAAGGAAGACAAGATGGGTGTCGGCTGGATAATATCAATTCCCCTCATGTTAATAGGTAAGAAGGTTGATTTTAATTAATTTCAAGGTTCTTTATAAATTATAAAGTACATTTTAATGAACAACATCATCTGAAGTACAGTGTGCACAGAGTGCAGTATGAACTATGGATAACTTTTTGTTAAAAAAGGCTAAGAATAACCTGTGTATTATTGTTGGAATATTTTAGCTACAACAACTCCTGCAGAAGGAACTACAACTGCAGCACCTACCAATGTTGCTCCTATAGTAGCATATTTTAAGCCAATTTCTGATGTCCATTTTGTAATTCAAACAGAAATGGGAGTCTACAGAATGCACAATAAACAATAAACAAATCCAGAATAGGTGGCAGAGTGTGACGCTGTGATTGGTCTAAATGTGGACGAATCACAAATCACAACAGACACAGGAATTTATTTGACGTAGCCTGCGAAAAAATTTGTAGCTACTATCTGACATTTCATAAATCGTAGCATAAAAGTTCACAGTTTATTTATAATTAAAAAACAAAAAAATATATATTTTTAATTTTTATAAATAATAAAAATCGTGTTTATTCGGGGAGGGCAGGAAAGTCAAATGGTAGAGCCTTGCCCTCCCTGGCCCTCCCACGGCACCGGGCATGAGAAGAAGGTTTAACGTCAAAGGCAGGATGTCTGATACGCTGAGAATCAAGTGCTTTCAGGCAGAAGAAAATACATGTTTATCACTGCCACACGTCTCTAAACGCTGCATGTGTTGTCAAGTTGCTGAGGATGATTCTTCATGTGGAACATTTGTGTTTCTATATCTGCATCCTTTCTGTTGGCCACCGTAGTTAGACCTCTTATGAACTAACACCTGTGAAACTCCAATAATGTAAACCCAAATAAACATCAAACATCCAGAATCGGACAACAACTTAAAAAAAATAGAAGTTAAATTCATGCAGGAGGACTAATCAAAAGGATAAGACACAGGTGGGGAGGGCAGACAAGCTCAGGTGAACACAGTCAGGTGATCAACCAGGAGGGAAACACAGAGGCAGGAAGTAAAACCATACGTAACACAAAGGGTGGACACTTTTAAGAAACAGGGAAACACAGACACAAATCGTCTCATTTGAGATTTACAAGTTAGTTCTGTCTTAAAAAACGTTTCATGAAAACGTTTGATGTCCCCACAACAGTTGTTTTAATGTACGTTACTTGCATTGAATATAGTGTTGATAGAGCAGACTCTATCCGTAGAGACAAACACTGCCCCCTACTGGATGTTAAAAGCATTGCCTCACCCTGGAGTGTTGTCAGTTGTTGCTGCTGTGTTTAGAGCAGGTGATCCTGTGTTTCTTTAGGGTTTTTGATAAACACTGAAGCAACGTGTATCATTGCGTCGTACCGAGCGTCAGGATCAGGTCTCGATGACCGGGCTGCAGGTCATCTGGACTCAAAGCAGCCGGATCCTGATGAACTGCTTCAGCTGAGAGCTCTGCAGGGGAAACATGGAGTTGGAGGATGTGGTGGAAATTCCACACTTAATCACCTACTGGTAGGAAAAGAACAAATATACAATCTTAAACCAAAGTTGTGTTTTTATTAAAGAGTTATAGCATTTAACAGAATCAATGTATTTCCAGCTGGAAGGCCAGATAACCTGCTCCTCGATCAAACAAATGACACGACTCTTTAAGGGAAGAGAGCGAAAGATGGGAGGGGGAACAGCCAATTAAACTCTACATTACAGCGTCTTGAAGATTGGTGTCTAGACCAATCTTAAGTTTCAACATGTTAAGTATAGCCGATGATAATTGCCTGCCAACAGTCACAGTGGCACCTGCTGTCTGTTGGAAGCTAGAGAAGGCAGCCAGTCTGTGTTGAAGGTGTGAAGACGCCTGGGAAGGACAGCCGTAGTTTACATCAAACTGAAACATTTAAAGTTCTATGATAGAGGAGATAACACGTTGGATTGATATGATTATATAACCTTTGAGTTCATGCGTTACCTGCTGCACAGAGCACAGGAGCAGCTAGCAGTGTTAGCAGTGGGATTAGCATGTTTGTGTTGAAGAGTGTGATCTGATCAGAGTTGTGGAGATGGGAGTAAGAGTGAGTGCACCCCCCTGCACATCTGACAGGCCACGCAGTTTAAAGTGCTACCGGCCCGAATCCACCCCGACCCTTCCTGACTCCCTCTCTCTCTCAGCTGACTGACGCCTCTTCTCTATTCTGATGCTTTCCTACTGTTGCTTACTTTGAATGCATTACCTTCTGAGTATTTCTACACTTTTAAATCCCTGTACCTCTGTGTGTCCATCTCCATCTCTTCTACCTCTGTTTACCTGCACTCCCCCCTCATTACCACCCTCAGAGAGCAGGACTTCCTGTCACACAGAGGCTCCTCTGTGAGTGAAACTGGAGAGCATTCCTCTGCCAGGCCTCAAATAAAGACAGATTCTTTCAGAAATAATCGGGGAGGGAACCCTGCTTCCCCCCCCCCCTCTCCAGGTGGACAAGCAGGGTCTTTGTGCAGCCGGTGCCGGGCTGGACCCCCGAGCCGGTCCACCTTCAGTCCTTCAGTCCTTGCAGAGGTGGAAACACTGGGAATATCATGAGTGAAGGAATATTAGTTTATCGATGGATCGTGGATTTTTAAAACCTTTCCAATGTGGATTTACTCTCCTGGATCAAACATCTGCAGCTCAGGGATGATCTGATCACAACATGGAGGTAGGCCACGGCTATGACTTCCTTTCTATCACACATTGTGCATATTGACCTGTCAGGAGCGTTCACTCTTAGAGATAATGTTGCTTTAGAGATTTTCAGATTAAAAGCATCACTTCAGATATATCCTAACCCAGTATGAGCCTTTTAACACAAACACTAAAGCCAGCACTAAGACCTGATCCAGCTCCTAGATCAAGGATTTGTTGTTTAAGAGTCCTCAAAACTGGTGTCCTCAGTGAGTTACTAAAGTAAAATCTGCTTTAATTGAAGTCCTAAGGGGGCAGAAAATGAGTCAGGGAATTAGGCAGGATTCACATGTAAGACCACTTAACATGCTTTATTTCAGCATTCAAAATAATTAAAAACATCTCAATTTATTATACATATACAAAATAGGTACAGATCCTTGTGGTGTTTTTCCCCATGGTTGTGTCTGTCTGCCTTCTCTCACTCAGTTTGAATCCAATTCTTTTTGAAAAAAATTCAACTTTTGCACAAGAAAACAATAAAACAAACAACAGATGCAGGGGGTGGAGAGGAGAAAAGAAGAGGAAGGGGGTTCAAAAAATAAAAAAAATGTGAGAAGATGTGGATCCACTGGGAACTCAGAGCTGGAGTTTGAGTGTTTCTGGAGATAGAAGAAGTTTGTCTCTCTCTGGGCACCAGCAATAAAAACTTAGCACCAAGAGGGCCCCCGCGCCGGAGAGGCCTGACACTACACAATAGTGCGGACAAACCAGACAACCAGGGGCCCCCAAAGGAAGAATAGCACCTTGAGTTTGATCTACTTCTGCTTCTGCTAAAGTGTTGCTAACCCCCCCCCCGTCCCCCCACCAAATCTAGCTCCACTAACACTGGGCCCTGTGCTGCTGCTCATCGCAGATCTGAGGTAGCCATAGGAGTTCTTTCAAAATAAAAGAGGTTTAACCCATGTTTCTCTGCTGGTGGTTTTAATGTGACTTTGGGACAACAAACAAATCACAACAGCTACAGAATCCAGGATGAAGAGGAGGGGGTGGGGCAGGTGTCAGAACAACAGAGGCAAACATGGCTGTCAGTTTCACCGTTTATTCATCAACACCTGAAACGTGGTACAATGCAATTGAGTTCTGTCTGTTGGACTGTCCTTTCTTTCCTCTCGCCACAGTGCGGTGAAAAGTCTGTGTGTTTCTGGAAACTCCAGAGAGGCTTTGGATGCATGAAGAGGGGGAAGTCAATTTATTTTACACTTTACAGAAGCATATATTATTTTCTTGTTGCCAGTGAAACAAAATGTCTTCTCTACGGGATCCGTGGTGTTGGTGATGGTAAAAAAAAACAAAAAAAAAACAAGAGTCAGAAAAGTAGTGGTCCCAAACGCAGCGATGCAAACGCCGCCACATCGCCGCCATCTTTGTTGAAGTGCAGGTTTTAGGCAGAGTGGACCATCGTCGGAGCAATGGCCAATCAGGAGCGAGGGGTCAGATTTGTCAGAAAAATGGCAATAGAGAAATGTTTTGGTGGGCTTTTTTTTGTTGAGAGAGATGACTGCTAGAAAAAATAAAACACACACACACACACAACAACAATTTCAAGTCCAGATTTCTCTTTTTACAAGAAACAGACGGGTCCAACTTCAATGCCGAACTCTTGGTCTGGAGCACCAACGTCCATAGGAGCGATATCAATGATGGGAAGGCGAGATGTTTTCGTTGTCTTGTAGTCGATGACTGTCTTGCCCCATGTACCGGTGTGTGACTGGAGGGGAAGAAGAAAGAAACAGGAGTTAGGAGGGTCAACATTCAGTTTCTGCACACTGGATTTCTACATCTGGCCTGATGTTTTGGCCAAAAGACATCCACTAGCTGCAGCTGCTAGCAGGCATGTCTTCTGATGCACTACTTCACTGATATACCGGTGCAATTGGTACAAGAGCATGAAATAAAGTTTCTCACCGTGCATCCGTCTTCCAGGACGCTGTAGGTGAAGCGGCTGTTGCCCTCGGCTCTGATCTCGATCTCGTTGGAGCCCTGGAGGAGCATGGCCTTCTTGAGGTTTCCGGCGGAGGCGTCCATGTAGGCGACGCTGTTCTTGCAGTGGTAGGTGATGTTCTGGGATGCTTCAGTGGACATGAGACGCAGGAAGGTCAGCTGGATGTTGACGTCCTGTGGCATGGAGCCCTCGCTTCCGTACTCGAACTGTGTGGGGGATAAGAAGTGGACAGGTGAGATGGAGGTAGTAGGAAAGACCAACTAATAGGCAGGTAGCGATGGGATTGGAGCAGGACATAAGGAAGGGGTCTGGTTGGATCTAGCATGTTTACCTGGAAGCCCTCGGTCATGGCCTCTCCGAAGAAGACGTGCTTCTTCTCCTTGATGTTCTTGCTTGTGTACCAGTTCTTCTTGGCAACCTCAGGCTGAGTTGAGGATACGCAGGTCTCTCCGGTCTCCATGTTGCAGTAGACCTTGATGGCGTCCTGAGTGCAGCCCTGGTCGGGGTCGATCCAGTACTGTCCTGCAGAGCAAGGAGTTGAGAGGGGAAAGGGTCAGAAAAACCCTGCAATACAGATTCTGCAATCCTATTTTGTTCAGTTTCTCTAGAATACTGACCGCTCTTCCATTCGGGGTGGCACATCTTGAGGTCGCGGCAGGTTCTGGCGGGGTTCTTGCGGCTACCGTCGGGGCTGCGGAGCTGCTCGATCTGCTGGCTCAGGCTCTTCAGGGTGCCGTCCACCTCCAGGTCGCGATCGCGGAGAACGTTAGCGTCATCAGCACGGAACATACGGAAGGGATCGGGGGCCTTCTCCTGGGGCTGGGAGATGAAGCCGAGGTCGAATCCGCCGCCGGGGGCACCAGGTGCTCCAGCAGGTCCGGGAGGTCCAGGAGGACCCTAAAGAGGAAGGAGGTGGTTATTTCAATGCCGGTAGAAGCTTTGTTTCACATGATTGTGTACAATGGTTAGAGTGATGGACTTACGGAAGGTCCCATCTCTCCAGAGCGACCACGGACTCCAGGAGGTCCGGTGGGTCCGGGCAGACCACTCATACCATCCTTACCAGAAGATCCAGCAGATCCAGATGGGCCCTGCAGACAGAATAAAGAGAAACCTTAAGTGTCAAAGTCCCTGAAAACACTTGAAACTGCTCGTTTAAAGCTTGTGTATCTGGTTTACTCACTCTAGGTCCAGCGGGTCCAGAAGTACCAGCGGGTCCAGCCTCTCCATTGGATCCCTATGCATTAAGAACAGAAACATAAGTAAGAAAAACAAAGTCCAAGTATGGATTGTGTTGATGATGAGGATATAGAGTTGAGGGGACATACAGAGGGTCCGATGGGTCCCTGCATGCCGGTGAATCCACGGTGTCCCTTCAGGCCTCTCTCTCCAGCCTCTCCGGACTCTCCCTTGTCTCCACGGAGTCCAGCGGGTCCCTGTGAGGGGGAAGAAGGGCATGATGAATTTTGCCTTCTCTTGTCTGCTGTCAGTTCATTTGTTATTGTTGTGAGTGTTGTTACTTACAGCAGGGCCACGAGGTCCAGCAGAGCCAGAAGCACCAGCAGGGCCAGCAGATCCCTGAAACACAGAGAAACCGTTTAATGTAGAGGCCAGCAGGCTGCACTGAAACACAATATATTCTCTAAACTCCGGTCACTCACAGACTCTCCACGGTCTCCATTCTTTCCAGCGGGTCCAACGGGTCCGGGGGCACCAGATGGTCCAGGGGCACCGGAGGCTCCGGATGGTCCTCCCTCTCCACGTTCTCCCTAAAATTCAAAGAAAATGTGTGTCATCACCAGCATATCATGTGTTTTATAAGTAAAAAGTTATTAGTTAGTGTTAAATGAATGTAGCAAAGTAAAAAGTAAAATAGTTGCCTCCCTAATGTAACATTATGTTAACCCTAAGTATGTAGCATAAAGTGGTAGTACTCAAGGAATGTATGTCAAAGTAGTACTTAAATACAGTACTTGAGCAAATGTACTTTGTTATTTCCACCGCTCTGCTTAGCTTAGCATCATGGTAGCATACTGTTTGCTAAAGGACTTTTCAGTATGCTCAGTTTGCTGCTGGAAAAGTGACTGGAAACACACAGTAAAATCCAGCTTCTGCATAAACGCCATCCTAGGGTCTGGTGCTATGCTCTGAAACCATGAGGATGAACTGGTACTTTGTCCGAATGTGTACTTGCACTGGCCACCCTCTGGATCCAAACCCAATCCCCCTATTGAATGATACTCTAATGTGTCACTGTACCATCTGGAATCAAGTCTATCTAAGATTGGTCAGTCCACTCTTCGGGGCTTGAAGCCTTCTGAACTCACCTTGGGTCCAGCAGGTCCATCACGGCCAGAAGATCCCTCATTACCGGGGCTTCCCTAAAACACAAAGCATGTCAACTTGTAAGGAAACCGTTCAACATTCAGACAGAAACATGGTGTACAGGTACAGGTGTTTCTTCTTACCTCACGTCCGGTCTCACCAGAGGCTCCAGCCAGACCAGCAGGGCCCATGGATCCTGAGGGTCCACGCTCTCCACCGGGTCCTGAAGGTCCAGGCTTTCCAAGCTCTCCCTGTAGAGGACAGCCACAGTCAGTCAAGTTTAAACCATCTCAGTTACTTTCCTGATATATCACCTGGGCTGTGTGTCTCATCAATATTGAGGTATTTGAACTATACCTTAAAACTTGAGTAAATGCACTTTAATCCATTCAACTACTGCATTTTTTAAGGCAGCAAGACAGGAAGTTACTAATAAAGTGAATGTATACTCCCTTAAAATCCCATGTGTACAGTTTGTTCTGACTAAATCATAGTTTGTGGTCATTGCATCCTTTCGAAGTGGATTTGGAGTCATATTTGATTCGTCATATTTTCTGATTTGAAGAAGTTTTAGCGCGCTGGTTCAGATGCATGGTGCAGGTTGTGGTTCTGTAGAGTAATTTAGGAACTCACAGAGGGTCCGTTCATGCCAGGGAAACCTCTCTCTCCTCTCTGTCCGGGCAGACCAACAATACCACGAGATCCAGCGATACCTTGAGGTCCAGAAGTACCAGGAGCTCCCTGCAGGGGGGGACAGAGAGCGAGGCAGTGGTTAGACATCAGGCAACAGAAAGAAACACATCAACATCCAGGAGTTTATGCAAATGAGTCTGTAGATTTCATCGATTTGCATTATTGAACACAACCTGCCAGATAACTTGTAATATAACAAATAACTGTCTTAATGTCTGGATTGAAGTGGGAAGGTTTACAGTTGTTACCCTGTTCACCTGTGAGTACAACATGGATGCATTTTAACATCCATACCTTTAAAGGTCTCTCCTACTCTCTGACACACACCAAACCTGTTTACATCATTCACACACTCATTTATACACTTTATTCCTAAAACACATGCAGAATAATGACCTTTTAATGGCAGTAGTTTCTGATTTATGGAGTGATTCAGAGAGATATCCTGAATCCCCTCTTTAGCAACCTCTGACTATTCAGCTAGGGTGTCTATCATGTCATTCTTTACCTTGTTCATCGATAGTGCCTCCCCCTAAAGAGGCTTAAAGTCAGCACTAGCTTAGTGATGGATGAAAGTTTGAATATAACTTACAGAGGATCCTTCACCACCGGGACCACCCTTCTCTCCGGCAGATCCTGGGGGTCCAGCAGCTCCCATCTCACCAGCGCGACCTGCAATTCCGGTCTCTCCACGGTTTCCTTTGGGTCCTTCCTTGCCACCGGCTCCGGGGGCTCCAGCAGGGCCAGAGTTTCCCTGTGAGGGAGAAGGGGGGACATTTAGCATTGCTACAGTACAATAAGAGAGTGAGAATAATATATAATGCAATGAAGGGGAAGACTTACAGAGGGGCCGGGGGCTCCGACTCTACCTGCAGCACCGGGGAATCCAGTAGCACCCTGCAGACACACAGAGGTCCGTTAGCTGGATCACATCAGTGCACATTTTAATCAAAAAACTGCTGTGCACATTACATGATGCAAAGAGCTGCAGGATTATTTTGCAATTGCGATATAAGTTGGAAAAGTAGAGTGAAAGATCATTTTTGAAAGCTCGTTCTGAAATGTGTATATTGTTCACATCCAAAACAGTACATGAATTTGCAAACAGCTGCCTGAACATGTTGGGAATGTCTCCAGATTACGCTCTCAGCTCTGTTTGGGTATAAGCACCATGATGTCTGATTTCTACACTAGCTGCTCATGAGTAGAAGAAAGAGTCAAATAAATCTTACAGGGGGTCCAGCGGTTCCGCGGGCTCCCTTGGGGCCAGAGTTTCCATTGGGACCCTGAAAGGACACAACGTTTTGTCAGTAAACATGTCAGCATTTAGCCTCAGCTTCTTATGTTCACTGAGTCACGGGATGAGTTTACTAACCTGAGGTCCAGCGCCACCAGTGGGTCCAGAAACACCGGGGGGACCAGCATCTCCCTTTCCACCGTTATCTCCAGACTCTCCCTTACCACCAGGCTGACCGTCAGCACCCTGTGGATGGAGAAAAGTCAGAAATGATGAAACTTCAAACTAAAGGAGAACAGTTGGTGTGAAGATATTCTTGAAGAGATGACTTACAGGAGGTCCAGCGAATCCAGCGGGTCCGGGGGGTCCAGACTCTCCACGCTCACCCTGAAGAAGAAGAAGAAGAAGAGTCAGTCACTGATTCAAGCAGCTAGATTGTTAGGAAACTCTCCCTGGTTCCCGGCTTCAATCTCAGGATCCATGTATCTGTGATCCTCTCCAGAATGGAAGTAGTCATCACATACAGAGCATCAACTAGTTCCTGAACAGTGTCCTTCACATGCTGATATCCAAGAGAGGGAGTTACACATCCTGTCATGTTCACAGCTACAGTTGATACCTTTGTTAGCATGTTGCTCTCATGTTTTCAGAGGACATCCAGGATGTTCTCAACATAGATGAAGCGTTATCTTCTAACAGAGTGGTGCCAATGGGACTTGTTACTTACAGGGCCTCCACGAGATCCAGCAGGTCCGCCGGGTCCGGGTGCTCCAGCGTCTCCCTTATCTCCGGAGGATCCACCGGGTCCAGGAAGTCCAATAGGTCCAGTCAAGCCACGGGGGCCATCCTTTCCACCAGCACCATCAGCACCCTTGCCTCCTTGGTCTCCCTGGGTGAGGGTGGAAAAGGGGGGTGTGAGGTTCATGCATGGATACTGGACTGCTGCTATGGATGGTTATATATGTCCCATCACATGTACGACTGGAAATATCATGACTACTAGGAATATGGTTGTGGAGACTCACTCTGCCTCCTTTCAGTCCTGGAAGGCCAGCGGCACCGCGCTCACCGGGCATACCCTGAAGTCCTGGAGGACCCTGAGCTCCGGAGTTACCTGGGGCTCCAGCATCTCCCTGTGGAAGAGGAGGAAGGGGACAAAGGGTTACACAAGAACTCAATCAGAACTTCATCAAGAGTGTTCCGTCATTGCTAACGTTGTTTACCTTAGCGCCATCGTTTCCACCAGATCCGGGGGATCCACGGGCTCCAGCGGGTCCATTTACACCAGGAGATCCACGCTCTCCGGGGAAACCTCTGTCACCCTGAGGGGAGGGGAAGGGGGAGATTATTGGGTTACTTTAAGTTCCAAGAGTGGTCAAAGAAAACATTTGGATCGATCTTGCTGGATTGCATAACTATGAGGAGGAGGATATTCCCTGTATGGAGTGAAGATAAGATCAGATAGGATAAGATGGACTAATTCAAATGATATACAGTTAAGTAACTTTAAAATAAGAAATGAATTAAATGAATATATATACATACTTGAGTCATACATACATATGAACTATGTTTACATGCATGTGTGCCGGTACCTAGCTTTAGACTATTAGCATGATGGCAAAAGCACGTAGGAACCGTTTGTAGCCCGTATCAGACTTATCTCCAAAGGTCCTCTACTAAATGACTGGTGACTTACTCTGTTTCCAGCGGGTCCAGATACTCCAGCCTCACCGGACAGACCCTAAGCAGAGAGAGAGGCAATTCATGCATTCATTTATTGGACAGTATCAATATGATCAGGTATCTGAATCAGTCATATTTGGGTCATTACCTGCTCTCCGGGCTTTCCACTCTCACCAATGGCACCCTGGGGTCCGGGAAGACCCTGGAATCCACCAGCTCCACCAGCTCCCTGCTCTCCTCTCTCTCCAGAAGGTCCCTGAACATAAGCAACAAGGGGAGGGCTGTTAGTGCCAACAGGAAGTGACCAGAAGTCGGGCAAAGTATGATTTGTTTTCACTCTTGGTTGTGAGGTTGCCTCTGAGAAACAGGTTTTCAGGCTTGGTTTGTATGTTTGCAGCCGGATTACGGAAAAACTCCAGCTTGGATTTTCGTGAACCTTGGTGGAAAATGTGTTGCATGCGCTAAGGAAGTCACATCTTGGAATGGATCGGAATAAGAATAGGGAATTTGTGCTCCATTATATGTGCTGTCAGAAGTCGGAGCAATAGCATACAGAACAATATTGGTGCGGCTTCCATTTTGTTTCCATATTTAGACCTAAAGCTAACAAACCCACCAAAGTCAGAATAAGAACTTTCCAACTCAGTAAATGGGACCACTCCAGTCTCGATAGAGGCGTGTGCTCTAGATTTGTTCGTGTTTTTGTAGTGAGTGTTTTACTTACAGCAGGTCCAGATGGTCCTGGAGCACCAAGATCTCCGTCCTTTCCTGGGGCACCCTGGGTAAAGAGATGGCAGTCTTTCAGACACAGCATTACAGGAAAACAGTAGAGTAAGATGGACTCAAAGTGTGCAGTTTAGACAACTTACAAGAGCGCCAGTAGGTCCCATCACTCCTCTCTCGCCAGACTTTCCACCCTCACCCTGCACATAGAAGTAGAACATGTTACAGGGTGTGTTGACCACTTTTCAGTTTCTCAGTTCAGTAAAATATTCAGGAATATATGGTCTACGTGAAGAGACTCACAGCGACTCCCTTGGGTCCGGGGAATCCCATAACTCCGGGCTGACCTCTAGCTCCAACGGGGCCGGGGGGTCCGGGGCGACCATCTTGTCCAGTGGATCCCTGGTATAAAAAAGATGAATTTAATTTTAGCACAAAACATCTCTGTGTGTTGATGAGATTGTGTTGTTATAGTGAATCTGGACTTACAGCGGGTCCAGTCTTGCCATCGGGTCCGGGGCTGCCGGGGCTACCAGTGATACCCTACAGGAAGAGGTCAGGGGTCAAAACATGGCATGGGCAAGGACTTTATTGATGTTCCTGACAATAGATTGTAAAGGAAACTCACCTTAGCTCCAGGAAGACCGGACTCACCAGTACGACCAGACTCACCAGAGGAACCCTTAGCTCCAATGGCTCCAGGGCCACCGCGCTCACCATTGGCGCCCTACGATGGGAGGGAGGGAGGGATAGTTCGATCAGAAACAGATCAACAGTTTGTCAATTAAATACAAGAATGGAGAACATTTGTGTTTTACTCACTTTGGCACCAGCAGGTCCATCAGATCCGGGGAAACCACGACCGCCAGGGGCGCCCTGCAGAAAGGGAAGGCTCAGTTAGCTGCAAGATAATCTAAATAGCATAAGCATTGCAAAAACACTGTGAGGCATATTGCAGTGTCGGTCCAGCTTTGTTTGTATTCTAAATATCTAGAATGCTTTGTTCCTGCATTAGCATTCAAGTCTTTCTTCTCTTTAGAGTCATTTCCAACCAGCAGGGGGCGCTGCTATGACTTCCCCTCACTTAATAATTAGTAATATTAAAGTAAACAGTATGGTATAGTGAACATTAGGTAAGATAAGATGCATACTCTCTCTCCTGGGCCTCCACGAGATCCTGCAACACCGGGCTCTCCTCTGGATCCTCTCTTGCCTTCCTCTCCTCCTGGTCCTGGGGCTCCCAGAACTCCAGCAATACCCTGCACAACACACACAGCGTTTGAGATGCATATTCATACATATGTGTGTATACATCAATATGCTGACTGTGGTGAACTTCAACTTACAGCCTCTCCCTTGGCTCCAGCCTCTCCCTTGGATCCTGGGGCTCCAGCCTCACCCTGAGGGACACGAGCAGAAACAAAACATTAAAAAAACAAATTCAGCATCAACTAAAATAATGTAACTCAAATATGCACGTGATGTATAAACAATAACTGAGATGATCGGTTCCACTCACAGTGTTTCCCTTGGCTCCGGGGGCACCACCAGCACCTTGGGCACCAGGGGGTCCACGGGGTCCGGGGAAACCAGGTGCTCCTGCAACTCCAGCAGCACCCTGCAGGGGGCAGCACACACAACTGGTTAATTTCATGCTGGACTGCAAGGAACCAGACCTTTAGGAAGTGAATGTTCAGACAGGGACACTCACAAGGTTTCCTTTAGCTCCGGCAGCTCCATCAGTACCGGGGCTTCCCTGAGAGGCGAAAGGAAGGGGAAGGGGTTACATTTAGACCGGAAGATGATGAAGAAATGATGAAGACATTGTTTTAAAGCAGGTTTTTGTTTGTACTTACAGAAGGTCCAGCGGGGCCAGCAGGTCCGGGGTTACCGCCCTCACCACGGGCTCCAGCGGGTCCTTCGGCTCCACGAGTTCCCTGAGCTCCAGCATCTCCCTGAGGGTAGACAAACAACCGTCAGATCATCAGAACCAACGCCAGAAGGCTGGGATGCATCATGGGTAAAGACCCTCAGAGGGATGAACATGCAGGTAGGACACAAAGACAGGTGTATGGGGTTGAACTGAGTTTCAAATGATGAGCTGAGGGTGTTTTAAATGGTTTACAATATCTGTGAACAATTAATTCAAACTTTTGCGGATGCTATGCAAGAAATGTAACCCAGCAAACACGGGGTGCATATCTTAATTAGGAATATTCAACATTAAGAATTGTATTGTATAATATTGGCCATCAACCGTACACAAAAAATAACTATATTTAATATCCATAATGTTTGATATTCTGTCCCTTTGTTTAAACCCTATCCTATCCAACCCCTGTTTAAAAATCAAACTAACGATCAAATATTTAAAAATCAATGCTTGAAAGCACGACAGAGTCAGATGAGTATCTAATGACTGCTTCTACCTCTCTTGAGAAGAGAAGAAGAAATGGCATGGTGTGGTGTTACTTGGGATTGACAGGCCATGGAAGATTGAGGAGGATGTTGAATATGAGACATTAGGAATGGAGGTCGTTAGAGATGATTGGATCATAATGGGTGTTGTTGTTGTACCTTAGATCCAGGGCCACCGGGGAATCCAGGAGGTCCAGATGGGCCAGTGGGTCCCTGGGAGGAAACAAAACACACACAGGTTCAGGTCACGGCAGCAGGCGCATCTGGATCCAAATCTGAGTCTCTCTCTGAGAATCCCCCTGGGGTTTTTAAACCAGGGTCAATCGAAGCGGTACTTTCGGGAGAACCGCTGAGAACATTTTGAGAGTAAGAAAAGCAAGTATACTTACGTTAGGTCCAGCAGAACCAGCGGCACCGTCGTTACCACGAGCTCCCTGCAGCACACAGACACAGATAATTGGATGATGTGTTCAATGACCAACGATGATGTGTTCAATGACCAACTCATGATGATTGCAGTATTGTATGTGTGTGTGTGTGTGTGTGTGTGTTTGTGTGTACTCACAGCAGCTCCAGAAGCACCGTTGCGACCTCTCTCACCGGGCAGTCCACGGGGTCCCTGTGACAGAGAAAAGTTAGTTTTAAAATGGCGTCAATCTGAAAGGAGGGGAAATCCAAGATAGCATCCGTGTGTCGGATCGGGGGCGTTTGTTTTACTCACCATAGCTCCGGGGGTACCGTTCTCACCAGCAGATCCAGCCTCTCCCTAAAGACAGAAACAGGTGAGGTGAGGAAGGAGTGTGGCGTCATTACTCAATGCCAATCTCATATGGCTGCTTCCATTCCTGCTAATGCTAGTTGGTTCTAGTCGTAAGGAGGACAAGTGTTCTTGAGTTCGGCTTCAAAATCACATATTTATTACAGAAACTCTGCAGAACAAACTGGGTGAGTGCAGTTTGCAACTTATGGGTATTTGCGAAGCCGGACAAGGTCCCCTTATGTAAGGGACTCAATCAAGGTTTCCTCAGCTTCTGTAGCTCCCTCTGTGTCACCCTCCAAGGGGGCACAATACACTAATGCTCTTAATATAGAATCATAACAATGCATGTAATGACTTTCTCTACGAGCCCTTTGGAAAAGCCCCATTTGCTTTCATTGGCTTGCAAGAAAAGTATGGTGCACCTTTGCAAAGGCAGTGCTCAACATGTTGAGTGGAGATCTGTGTGTATATTATACTCTTATAAGCCTGCTTGTGCTGGCTTTGTTGAATCCCATGTTTTCTGACCCAAGGCTGCCTATAAATACTGACCAGGTGTTTGATTACAGAGTCGGTGTGTTGCTAGGCTTTACAGATACCCAGATGCATGTGGGTTTAAGAGTACTGTCATGTTTCAGAGAGAGGCAGTCACCTTGGGTCCAGCGGGTCCGCCGTCTCCCTTGGCTCCATCCAGACCGCTGAATCCCTGCAGAGAGAGAGAGGTTTAAAGTTAGCGCTCGGCTAGCGGAGATGCTATGGTGGTGTCTTGTTGAACCGGAGCTTGGACTCACTCTGTGTCCCTTGATGCCGGGCAGACCTGGAGTTCCTGGGAATCCACGAGCGCCCTGAGAGGAAGGAGAAGACACATTCATTATCACAGTGTTCTTCAACATTGCATCAATTAGAATATAAGATGTGTTCATTGGCATGGTAACTCACCTGTGGGCCGGATGGTCCACGCTCACCGTTGCGACCGGGCTTGCCAGACTCACCCTAAGAGATGGAGAAAGTTAGCAACACTAGATTGTAAAGATATTCAGGTAAGTAAAGGTCTGCCATTCAAAACCTGACTGAAGCATTTGGGAACAGACTTAGCTAAAGTGCAGCTACCTGAAGAGTACATCATCATTACTCTGAGATCAATGAATATGAGCAGAAGGACTTACATCCTCTCCGTTCTTGCCAGAGGGTCCGGCGGGGCCACGGGGTCCCATGGCACCCTGCAGAGACAGAAACACTGAGAATGAGGACAGACTCTCAAGGTGAATTGTGGGTAAATATCAATGTCCATTATGTCAATACTTACAGAAGATCCAGCCTCTCCAGACTCACCGGGGGGGCCGGTGAATCCCTGAGGTCCCTGTAGGGGGGGGGGGGGGCATAAACACCATTAATACAACACCAATACTGTACATGTGGAGTACCATAAGGTGAACATTTTATTTTTGTATTCTTCTTTCAGATTTGGGAATAATGAATCTGATGTAATCCAATCTAAATCCAAGCTGCTTAGATTCCAATTTACTTTAAATAAGTGTTGACTTTCTTAATTTAATTTGAGCTTGTTTCAGATCCGTTTGCTGGGTTTCGTTTAAGGTTCATTTGTCCCAGAAAGGTGTTTGATGTGGTCTGCCCACTTTGTCGGGAAAACTAATTGAATAGAAAATTGAATAAATGGAGTTCTGGCTCCAACTAAATTCAGAATTCTGCTGCAAAGTCCAGATTCGATCAAGACATTTATTGTAATATATCGTATTTATTTTGGTAAATCCCAGAAGCTCAAAGCTAACACACTGGCTGCAAAGTTTGAAGGATCCTTCCTGGGTCTGACAAGTCCCTATTTTAGTGAGGAACATGGAGAACAATGAAGGAAACAAAGGCACATTTTGGCCCAAGCTGAAACAATAACACCTATTTATTGTTTTGCTTTCAGTTCCGTGCGTTCAGACCGTTTTGAATTCCCCGGTGTCTTTCCATTTCACGTGGATGCACTTGTGAATTGCATTCGGTCTGAACACACAAGACACTTTCTGCAGCATTTTCAAATTCCTTTAGAGTGCACCAAAGAGAGGAAGGTGATGTTTGAGTTGTTGTCGGTGCCCTCTACTTCTCTATGATCAAAGATCAGGCTTTTTGGGTTTTGAATAGAGGAAGTGGGTACTTACGCTAGATCCAGGAGCTCCGGGGGATCCACGGGATCCCATGGGTCCCTGTCAACCAAACAGAGGCAACATCAGACACTGCATCGCTCTGATTAACAGTGTGTGTGTGTGTGTGTGTGTGTGTGTGTGTGTGTGTGTGTGTGTGTGTGTGTGTGTGTGTGTGTGTGTGTGTGTGTGTGTGTGTGTTTTGGTGAGTGTCTTACCATGGGTCCGGGCACAGACATGCCAGGTGATTTATCGTCATAGCCTCCGGACATCTGAGGAGAGAAGTTCTGGAAAAAAAGGGAAAAGAGGTTTAAATATTACAATCCAGCTCTCAGGGGACACACAGGATGATACTTAGGTTATAATGACATGAAGACAATGCACTTTCTGTGTTGTGCAGGACCTTTATCTGATAAAGGATGCACTCTGGGTATAATATTTAACTAAATGAACTTTAGGGCATCCCAGCCGAAATATCCCAAATGAAGTCTGAATGATATCCTAAAAGGGAAAGCTGCTTTCTGAACATATAAACCAGTCTCCTGTTTCCACCTGTGTTCTGAGATATCCCATCATTTCAGTTCATCCGGGATCACCCAAACCCTTTGAGCTTATCTCTTGCTAATGCATCCCAAACAACCTCCCAATCTGGGATGAATAAAGAATAAATCCATCTCTCTTAAGCTCGACCTTAGATGCTGGAGAGCTTTATATGAGATATTGCAGCTGATGGCTTTAGCGGCTCTGTTAGCTTAGCGTGTTCGATGGAAGTCTGTTGTTTATATTTTGTGGTAGGTTAGGATGGAAGTCAGAAACAAAGTGAATCAGAGCATGCTTAATTCAATTGTGAAACGGTAGTCTTCGGTGGCGAATAAGCCTTTGAGTCATTGGTTAGCTCTATACAAGCATGCTACATCTGACTGGCATGGTATGTCATAATAGCATGTTGCACACACAACCAGAAATAGGAAAGAAATCAATAATAAACTTATTGTAATGAAGCTTGCTGGATTAGACAGTGATACTATTAGCAATATGTGTTAGCATGCTAGTTAATGTCTCTCTGTTAGCATGCTTTATAACACTGGGGTAATACTGTATGCCCTGTTAGCTTAGCATAGTGAATTAGTATATGAGTCAATGATCAATTCTACATAATAAACCAACATTAGCCAGCAATTGTTAGCTCAGTATGCTAAGCTACAAATCACAATTAGTGGGAATATTAGTTTAGTAAGCTTAATTATGATGAGGGTCAATTGGAATGTTAGCTTAGTATAAAAGTTGCTTACTAACCAGATCTTAGCATGCTAACTTAGATTGTGAAGCTTTGGGAATGTTAGCATAGATGTGGTACGAGTTTGAGCATCACTCTATATCTCTGTTTGCCCCTAATGAAGGTCTGACCTCAGTCTGACCTCAGTCTGACCTCAGTCTGAAAGCCAAACGCAGACAGTTATCTGAGGCTAAAGATGGGTTTGTAGAGATCAATGAAACGCTTGAGTTTGATCTGTTGAAGTGGGATCCAGTTTCTCTGCACTTCCTGTCCTCTCTGAAGCTGTGTTGACAGCCTCTTACGGGTTGATACTGGTCCATTTTGATGAGCAAAGAAAGTCAAACCAAAGCCCTGAGGTGTGAATGCTCCAAACTACAATAGGGATTATGGGTAGTGGAGACAAAACTAACCAATACTTCTATGGCTTTGCTTTCTTCATTTGTTTGTCTGACCCCCACAGAGGAAGACGTTCTTCAGACGCCACAACTCCCAGAAGCTTCTCACATGAGTCCCATCCCCACGGAGGCTCTCCTGGACCCCAACGAGTCAGATACAGAACTGCAAATATAAGATGTGCAACTTACCCCTCCGAGGCCGGGGCGGCCGGGCTGGCCATCCATACCATCTCTACCAGAGTTACCAGTGGAACCCTGCAGGGGGAGAAGAGGAAGGGGTCAGGATCCTAATCAATCACCTTCTTTAAATCCACTGAAAACACACTTTCTTTAGATCCTTATGATTTGTTTGGTTTGGTTAACACATTTAAATGTTTGCTTCCTTTTAAGATTCCCTTCCACCTCGACCCTTGCTTTGTGTCTGTCTGTCTGTGCATGTATCTCACCTGTCCCCGTACCTGTTCATCATTTAGTTTTTGGGAGAAGGGGTGGGATTCAATAAGTGTAAACTTAACTTTCAGATGTGGAATGAGGTAGATCATTTGTTTATATTTCATTTGTAAGTCAATTATATTTGTGTTGATCAATTTGATACTGCTTATGTTTGTATCATAATTATCTTTTGTATTATTGTTTTACACGTTCAAAATAAATCAAATCAAATCTAAAAATCTAAACTGTTGGATTGGTTCAAACCGATCACATGACTGCTTTTAGTCTTCATTCATCATGGTGTGTAATCTTGTATATCTCAGGTGTGTCTGTAGTGATGGAAGCAGCATTACACCTGGAGGAGGGGCAGTTCAAAGCCCTGTGAGACTGACCAATCAGGAATGGACTAGTGGTCATGTGACCTCAGCAGACAGGAATTAGGTAAGAACCACCATTTACTTTTTTATGGTAAACCTTCTATTTTTGATCAACAACTGAAAATAAATGTTCATAAGGAATTTAACATAGTAAATAATATGAACATATTCATAATAAATATGATATTCAGTTATTATTAGAAGATTATAAAATGTCTTTGTGGTCTCAATGAAACCCCTTTATGTCAGAATGTAAATAAGTTGTGTTTTCATAGCAAACATTATAAAATAAATAGATTGGCTTCACCTCTGCAAAAGCAACCATAAGCCTGCCTTAATGTGTGTAGCATTATGATGATCACAGATCATTGGGCTTTTCTGTGTGAAAAGTCCCAAAACTCACATTTTCTAACAACCCTGCGTCTTCCTCAGTGTGCACGTTTCAACCTGCCCCCTGCATGCTTCCCTCCCTGCTCCCTGCTCTCAGTGAAGCACATGTCCTGCCCCTAATTTACACACATTTCAGGATCTATATGAGCCATTTAATGTTGTATTCGAGCCTGATTCCATGTGTCTTTATGCACGCTTTGCAAAACCCATTATGAAAACGATGCTAGTGAGATCTGATGCTACCTGGACTAGCTTCTGTTGACATGAGTGATCTGAGTGCTGTTACTTTCCTACTTCTTCAGAAAGATCCTGTTTCCACACGTTTCTCTAAGCACAGCTGCCCTAACCCTAACCCCACCACAAACGCTCAGGAATCCACTCAGACAGTGAACGCACCACCACAGATTAAAAAGTGAATGCTAAAGGAGTGTTGGACGTACCCTGTCTCCCTTGGGTCCTCTGGGTCCCTATAAGAGAACAAAACAAAAACAAAAGTTCACATAATGAGAAGAATGACCCACATGGTTCATAGAGTATGGGATCAGATCCAAAAAAGATACTAGTTAGACATAAAAGTCTATGAAATAACTTTATCTGATCTGATCAAATATCTTTACATTTAGTTAAATAAATATAATGTTCTAACTCTCAATGATCAATACTGCTATCAATAGCTACATGGAACAGATAAGGTCGACCATCATCATTATTATGGATTATACAATAAATCAAATGAATATTTACCTCGACCTGTGGCTCCTGGAAGCCTGCAGAGAGACGGGGGATAACAGGGGTTAGAAATGGAAAGCGACATCTTACAGAACAACAGATGTGGAGGTGAAAACATGAATCCTTAAATACGTCCTGAATCCATCAGAACAGGCGGACGGAGTGAATGCAGAGCAAATCATGCATTTAAGCACGTTACAGCCAAATGTGAAGGGTTTCAAAAAGACGGGAAATGTTTTGGATTTGCTTTTTTGTTAATAAGAAATGTAAAATGAATAAGAAGTGAATGCAGGGGACATTAAACCTGCAGAGTACCTGAGGAGGGGTCAACGTCATGGAAATAGCACTGAATGCATCAATAACAGCAACATACATACAGCAATCTATATTTGTTTACATCTTGTTGACATGGAAATGCAGCGTCAGGGTTAATGTAGCTGGACCTGTTGCAATGGCCTAGAGCAGTTCTATGATATACTACACTAGGACAGGTGACATGTAGCTATGGTGATAGGGTTAATAAAGACTAGCACAGGTGTAGAAGAGGTGCAGTGATGCATGTAGGTGGGTGCAGTGATGTGGGTGCAGTGATGCATGTAGGTGGGTGCAGTGATGCATGTAGGTGGGTGCAGTGATGCATGTAGGTGGGTGCAGTGATGCATGTAGGTGGGTGCAGTGATGCATGTAGGTGGGTGCAGTGATGCATGTAGGTGGGTGCAGTGATGCATGTAGGTGGGTGCAGTGATGCATGTAGGTGGGTGCAGTGATGCATGTAGGTGGGTGCAG